CAGTAAGCCCATAAGGAGGTCACATCATGCTCCTTGGCACCACAGCCCACATGTTACCTCCAGAATCTCTCAGAATCTCAAGAGCCATATTAATAAATATCATGCATGCAGTGCTCTGATAGGGGAAAGAGAGGACTTACCATTGAGAAGTGGACACAGACCTTGGTCCATATGAAAGGGGCTCAGGAAGGACATTTCCAGAAATATGTGCTATGTGGAGAGAAAGTATTACAAGTACAGAACAATCTCCAGTCTTTGAATATGATCTTTAGGAGTTAAAATAGTTTATCAGTGTAATAAATGAAAGCAAATGAGCTGTCCCAAAGAAAGGTACAGTTGGCAGGTGATAATGATCCAAATCCCTAGACTTTCCTTGTGGTTGTCACATGATAGTTAACCCTAGTGAACACAGAATCCCAAAATGTCTGGCACAGAGTGTGATGAAGGAGGATTAGAGCTGAAGGAGTGGCAATACCCAAGCTTATCTGAGAGAACTCACTGAAACTGCAGGCTTCAGATAGAGAACAGCCTTGAACAGCCTCTGCTCCCACCACCTTCCACCCAATGCTCAGAGACCCCAAGGCCTCAAGCCCATTTCTTACTCTCCCCTTGGTGATTTCTGTAATTTTTATCTCCTCTGGGACATCCAGGTGTGCCATGGGTACTGCCAGAGTCAGAGACTTGGAAGGACACACCTGACATACACGTTACTTCAAGCAAATGGTCACTCACCTGAAAGATTTAAGGATATTTGTGTCCATGTTTATCCTGGTTTCTGAGGTCAAGAATGAAAATATCTGTATCTTGAGACCACCATACCAGCCCTGTGTCTTTCTCGGTGAGAATGTGTCCTGTAGAATGTGGATATCTTTCATGGACATGAACTCTTATCAGGTAACTCCTGCCCTAAATTGGTGACCCTGAAACCACATCTCCAGGACCACTGGAGAAAGGTGCTGATACTGAGTCACCATTTACAGTATGTAGGAGACACTCTAAGACATGCATAAGATTAAGACATGTCCCTGCCTGTAGTGGGAAGAGCAAAAGGGAACTTAAAAGGGGACCTGCCCTGCACCTCAATCAAGAACAGTTTCCAAAAATGTAACCTGTTCCTCTAGGATCTGGATCATTGAATGATCTAAAATTAGAATACTGTAAAGACTGTAATCCTTTACCTAATTTTCTTCTATCAGGGTCATGGTAGTGACAATCTGTAGGAATATAAGACTCCATCCACAAGTGTCCTGGTTTTCTTTTGACAACACCAGCATGTGTCAGGGCCAGAGAAGTTATTTTCTCCATGGATGGATGATAAATCTCCAGGACCCCAATGTAGTCTGTAGGAAATCCAGGATGGAATTTAAAGGTATTTACAACTTTACATCTATTTTTCTGAATTCCCACATTGAAGGGACAGCAGTACCATCAAGGAAGGTCCAGAGAGCACTGGATTTTAAACAAGAAGCTGTAGGAACCGGTAAGCCTTGCATCCTGGATCAGAGATGCAGGTCCAGGGAAAATAGACACAGGGAGAATGTCAGCAAAGCTAGGCCTAAACCCCCTGCAGGGGCCACTTACTTCTCAAGGAGGCTCTGACAAAGGACTAAAAGACTTCTCTGGATCCCAACACCCTAATCCTGGTGACTTTCTGGGGAATATGAGGGGTAGGTGACAGAGAGGATAGATCATGTGTATCCTGGATATAGTGTCATCTGAGCTAGATATAGAACATGTCAGGTATCCCATCTCTGAGTGCTCAACTTGGATGGAAGGGAGCAGTACAGACCATCTATAGTCAACATGCATTAATTTTGTACAAGCTTTTTACATAACATTGTCATTTATCAGCATGTGTTGTTTCCTACCTGTTATACTGAATAATTTCTAGGTTTGGAGTTATTTGTGGACACAGGTGCTGGAAGTTGTGTCTTTAGTCTTTAATGAAATACAATTCATTCAACTCCAAAAACCAGTCCAAGAGCCTGTTTTGTGGCAGCTTCTGTCTGTGACCCTCAGGATACTGCCGTGCATCACTGTGTGAGAGACACAGGGAGTGAGATCAGTGTGCACCAAGACAGACCCACCATGTGGAGATAGAAAATTGAGAGAACAGAGGGTCTGAGCAGTTCTGTGATGTAAGTCATGAGTTGTGCAGAGAAAGAATGGAGAGGAGACTTCTAGTATAATTGTAGAATCCCTGCATCCTTACAAATACACAGACAGAGACTTATATACATACATAAACACACATGTACACATACCCACAGAGATAGGAACACATACACACACACACACACACACACACAAACACACACACATATGTAGTGCCCTTGGAAACTTCCACCTGTGTTGTAGCTGCTTCCTGTCTATTCTACATCTTTAGCAATATGAGCTGAGCTCCTGTACTCTGGATCACATTCCCACCATGCTCTGATCTTCAGAAAGTATTAGCAAAAATAAACCTCTAGTAAAAATTCCATTTCCAGTACCTGAATTTTTCAGATATTTTACCACAGAAATTTCAGTAACACAAATGCAAAAGGGCAAAACTTCAGATACCATCTCTTCTTGTAAGTACAAAAACACTCAGGAATCCAAAATTCAATAATAACAGAATTTACTTAATGTGAAGACAAATTAAATATATGTGCACTGTGGAGGTTGTCACAGAGATAGTGTGCCAAATAACTGCAGGAATTTCATAGGGAACCTGCTAGTGCCAGGTTTTGAATCTTTTCTAAGGAGTGAATTAGGGGCTCAGATAAGTCAGAAACTTGATGCTTAGTCTGATATGAAGTGCATAAATTTCTGTTTCTAAGCATATCAGATACACCTATCCCATTAAATCTGGTTAGATACATGATTGGTAATTAAGAACTCCTTCAGCATAATTATAAGAAAATCTCTTATTTGAGAGGCACTGTTATTAGGTAAAGAGCAAGACTATTATCAATAACCTACCAGTAATCATTACAGAGAATATTATTGAACCCCGTAATTTGGTAGAAACTGAGCTCAGGGACTCACAAGGACAACGAATATAGTTGTGGAATAAAGCCAGAACCTAGGAGAGATATTTTTCTAATTGTACTAGAAAGTAAAAAGAAAAGAAACAAGTCTTTGCTGCTCAATTAGTGAGACCCATAAAAAAGAAGAGAAATGATTTTCTACTGGATTTAGTCACAGGTTGGGGTGTGCACTCTACCACTGCCCTGTAGCAAACAGTGAAAGTAACACTCAAAAATAAGGGCTTAGAGATAGCAAGATTGAAATGGAAAATGAAAACACTTCCTTTGGAAGAAAGATAAGAAATGAGGGTCAGACAACTACCTGTAGCCAGATAACTGAGGGCTTGTTCCTGGCTGCATTGCTCAAAGAGGCAACAAAGCCCTTTCACTGGAAATTGTGCCAGACCCTGGGATCCCAACTCAGGTACCTTTGCCTGCCTGCAAATTCCTACATGAATCCCACTAATTTTCTTTCATGCTTTCTGTGTTGTATGTCTAAAATTTATGGCTTGGTTAAAATCAATCTTAGATATGTAGTCAAGTCAACAATTAGGTGACAGGCTAATGCTCTAATATAATGACCTTAGAGTGGAGTTTACCCATACATGCAAGAATGTTTTCATTTCCAGTCTAAAGTCTTTTTGTATCCCACACTTGATACCAGGAAGTGATCTACTGGATCTAATGCAATACTCTGTTTCAGCAATCCTTGGGACCTCATGCTTCTATAGGTTTATCTTCAAAATTTATGTATGATTTATGACACTGGATATGCTATGAAGTTTTTATGAAGCACTTGGACTCTGATTTTCCTTCATCTTTACTTTTTCCAAAAACCTGTTTTGTGTAGTTTCTTCATTCACTCTGTAATGGAATTTTCTTGGTGCAGATATTATAATTAGCTCAATGAAAATAAGCAGATTGAGACAGACCTGGTGAAAATCTGGGAAGTAAATTTTATAGTCTCTTTCCTGACAGCAGCCTCTACCCCTGCCAGTTTGTCCTGGTTTGACCTGGGCAAGTAATCTTTTCTTTTTGTAACCCACCCAAAAAACAAGGCCCCATGATGAAAAATGGGGCAAGCCCCCCGAGATGATAAATGGGGCAAGATGTCTTTTTAAAAGAACAGCTTTTATTTTAGCTGGCCCAGTGACACAGTGCAGATGGAATTTGCAAAGCTGTGCAACTGAGTTAGAATTTTGACTGATTTTTATAGTTCATTTATGATTAGCTCATTGATCATTAAGTACATAGTGATGAAAAACAGAAACAAGGTGAGCCTTTGTTCCCCTTTGCTGAGGTCAGAGACATTTCACAGTGGGTGGTTAGCCAATTTATAGCCCTTGGTCTGCCAATTTCAGGAACATTTGTCTCTCATAAATGGAACAATGGCTGACACAACCTCATTTGTCTCTTACAAGGGAGAACAAAGGTTGACATAGCACACAGGTCACTTGGGGGCAATGCATACAGAACAGCATAACAACGTGGTCAGTTAATCTATAACTATGTGGTTGGTGCTTGGTTACTAGGGTAACCAGCTCAGTAAAGAATGACAATACTGCTAATAACTATCCTTTTAACTATTTTTGCTAATTATCTTTTAATCAATTATTTTAATTTTTCAGCATCTTAGTATAACATTTCTGTCTTCAAGGGATTGTTTTTGCCAGAGGACATTCACTGGAAACATTTACGACCCATCTTGGAAAGTGCAATGAGCCCTTAAGCAAACACAGAACAGCTTCAAAAACGTAAGTAAAACTCTTAAAGGGAAGTATTAATCGTGGCTGCTGAGGGTGACATCACATGAGAAAGACAGATCCAAAAGCCAATCATTGATAATGTTGCGTCCGGTTGCACACCCAATTAGGAAGATTAAGGGAGGAGGGCTCTTCCGGTCCTGGTACAGAAATGCTGGCTGCATACCCAATCAGAAGGGCCAAGGGAGGAGGGCTCTTCCCAGTCCTGGTGAGGAAGTGCTGGCTGCACACCCAATCAGGAGGGCCAAGGGAGGAGGGCTCTTTCCATTCCAGGTGCAGAAGTGCTTACTATGAGTTTGGTGCTGAGAGCCTGGGAGCTGAGAACACATCTATTTTCTTGGACTTCTTATTGAGTGCTGCAAAGATCCTCGGACACCCTCAAGCATCACAATGGTAATATGATGGCATTTGAGCTGGGAAAGGGTTGGAATTGTGTGGATTTTGGAAGGAGGTAAGCAGAAACACTGTAAGCTTAGAAAGCCTTTTGGGCAGCACCAGGCACTGCTGTGTTTGAGGAGTTCAGTGATTTGGGGGTAAATCTGAGTTCTCAGTGAGAAAAAACATCTGAATTCCTTTTGTGAGATCTCTGCTCACAATGATGTTACCACATAAACAGAACTCTCAGTCTCAGCATACTGAGTGTGGAGTTCTGGATCCAAAATACAAAATGAGAAGAGCTCCTTGACTTCCGGAATGCTTCCCTCCTGGGTAGTCAGATGGCAGCTACACTAGGCTCTGTGGGTTTAAAATAGATCTCCAGCTATCTATCTATCTTTCTTTCTTTTCTTTTGTTCTTTCTTTTCTGTTTTATTTTATATTGTTTGCATACAGAGCATATCTACATAGTCAGGCCTGCCTTTGAGCTCTGGGTCATGCTCCTCCATCAGCCTCCAGTGTGAAGAGATTATAGTCCTAAGTCCCTGCACCCGGAAAAAATAACTACTTTGAGCCCAGGCTCTCTAACCCATTTCTTCCTCTTGTGTGGTCTAAGGTAAACAGGGTTTAGAGATCAACTGGCTATTTATATTTAAATATGTTATCTCAGGAATTTAGTAATTAGCAGCTGCAAGTCAGCATAGTAGAATGGAATCTGCATTTTACTGTGGGGGAGAAAATCACTGCTGGTTCAAAGCCCTAGGTCTTCATCTATTCTCCCTTTAATTCTTATCAAAGCCACTAAGTTTGTAATTTTATCTCATGCCCTTTCTTTAGTGCCTAATTTATAAGCTAAGTAAATCAACAATGTTTTACAGTTGAATTACTGAAGCAAGGCTTTTCATAGAGTTTAGAATGCTGTGAAGCATTTGGGGGATGGTGATGCATTAGCATGTTTAGACTTTGCCAGCACTTTGATTGTTAAACTTGATATAGGGAATGAAACTTTCAAACTACTGTATGTCCAGTACAAGTTAATGCTCTCTGAATTTTAAAAATGAATATGTGAACAAAGAAGGTTAAAGGCAGATGTATTTATTGAGAGAAAGAAAGCTTGTGTCTTGACAGAGAGACAGAATGGGTCTCAACTGGGTTGCCAAAAACTGTATTTTCTAGGAATTTTTATAGAGTAAAACAATGAGGTGAGGCCAGTCTAAGGAGGGAAAAAAAAAACTCAAGGCAGGCTGGCATGAGTTGGAAGAGAGCTATGGTCAACCAATAAGATTAATTGTTCAGATAAAATTGACTTAAGTCTGGGACAAATTGGAAAGCCAGTCAGGCAGAGAGCAAGCATTATTTATGGATCAGTATAGTTCTTCCTGTAGGGGCTTGGAAAGGTGACTCCAGTCTTCTCAAGGTGATCCATGTGTAATCCCTAAGGATTATACCTTAGGGTATGGTTGCATTTCTTTTGAGATCTACCCCACCTCAAGAGGTGTGTTACTCTTCCAAAGTCACCAGACATCAGGTCCTCTGTTCCAGCTAATTGGTGTGCCTAGCCCTGTCTGACTGCCTGTAATAATCCTAACTAGCTCAGCTGTCTGTAACATGTTGACAGACATGTGCTATCTTGTTAGTTACAGTGCTGTGCTTCTGCTTTGGTGGAGAGCACTGGGTCTCCTTCTGTAGTCCACACTGTCTTAAACTCTCAGGGTCTCATGCATCATCCCCTGTAGTTCTAGGGTTTCCAGAATGCACTACCATGCCTGGATCAGTGTTTTCATTTTTATTTCACTAAGTTTCATGAAGGTTTCAGTGTTGGGGTAAAGTAAACAATACTGAATCTTGGTGGTTCAAAAGTATAATACTATCCCCTTGGGAGAGTTAGGAGTGTTTAAAACAAGGACCACCCTGGATAACTGAGCAAGAGCTTTTTCAACATGAGATACACATTTAGGGTTTATGTCTACACCAAATTATCTTTTCTAAAATATGTGTGACCCTTAGATAATGAAGAGAAAATGTTTGCAATTTAAACTTATATTGAATTTTTAAGTTGACACATAGTCTCTACTAGTAGTGATGCATGGCACAATGCAAAATTTATGTGCTCATGTCTGGGGATGCAGAGATGAGTGTCTGGTCTCAGCAGAATGTCACCATGGATGAACAATCAGTGACTCACAGTTTCCTGCATTCTGAAAGGTATATGTGATGTTTGGTTTTTGTATTATAAATTTGTCTTCCTGTTAGATCTGAAACACAGATCAAGGCATTTTTGTTCAGCAGGTTGAAAATATTTGATGCTTAGCAATGGTGTTTGCAATAGCAGGTGTGTTTTTGAGCATATTCAATGCATTTTGTTGTCAGTTACTTTTAGGTTGATCAATTTATTTTCCTTTTGAAACTGAATTACCACTTTTGTATCATTTCTTCTAGTGTTCATATTTTCTCCTGTAGAGTATAAGAATTACCCAGTTGTTTACAGTTTAGAGAGCTGTATGCACCTGTTTCTCCTGAGCAACTCTATCAGGAGATAAGTGAAATCCTGTTTGGGAATGTGAATGGTACTGTGGGCATTTTGTGTCTTCATTTCCCAGTATTTTATTATTATTATTTTACTGATGTGGTCAGTCTGGGCATAGTGCTTGACAAGAAAATAAAATGGAAATTTTGAATTGGCAGAAACTTGAGCTGAGTGGTTAGGCAGTAGGGTTAGGGTTAGACATAGCAGGTGTTTCAGTAATATATTTTTTAACATTATCTGTGTAATGTTATAACCTAAGCCTCCCTAACTATCCTAAGGTCTGTTCTAAGGTATAAGCCCACCTGCTGCTTCCCCTCCCCTTCTCCCTTCAAATCTAACTAGGTTAAGTTTTAACTTCCTAAAGGCCATAAAACAAAGGCCTGAGGTAATAGCTCCTGACAACCCTGGTCTTCCCTACCCAAAAAGACCCGGTAGCCCGTCACAAGTTGTGTTAATTACATTAGATTATATTAGATTGTGCATTCTTCACTAAAATAGCTTCGTTTATATTGTAACAATAACTGTAACTTGGCCTTACTGTAAATGTGTGTTTTCCTTTCCCTCTGGGCAAAGGATTGATATGTTAATCAGTGCTCTCCTCTGTAAAGAATTGTAAAATCTTACCTAATTGATATGTTAACCATTGTTGCCCTCTACAAATAGAACAGTTGTGGTGCTAAAGTAAGATGAGTAAGGTTGTTAATTGCTGTTAGACCTCTCTATTCTTTGTTAAGAAAACCAAAATTTCTTCTTATCTAAACTTGCTAGTATGCAAAGAAACTTGCCATTGCCATTTCTGCTTTGTAGTGCGTCACACCCCCATCCCCCTCCTTACATTGTGTGACTAGCAGATGTTTGTGGATTTACAAGATAAAAAGTCCTGACTTTAGCTGTGAGGTGTGCAGTCTCCAAATTGGCTCCCGGAGACTTGTCACCAGGCCTGGATTTTACCTAATAAAGCCTTTGCTTCCCAAATTTCTTGCTTTCTTGGATTTTATACCGGGGTCCGAGTTATCACATGTAACACAGCTTTAGTTTTGTAATTTCACTGGGGGATGTGACTCAGCCTCAGAAGGATTCAACCTTTCAGCAGTTTCACTTTTTTAAAGGGTGATGCTCTTCTAAGTGGCTTAGGACATATTAGAGTACTGACTACATGTGTAGTTGTGCGAGCATACAGAAAGATTTCAAAAAGTTAAAAAGAGAATGAAAGTCATCGGAGTAGAGCAGTTGGGGCCTACACTCAAGTAGAATGGTAAGGAGACATTGCACAGAAAAAAATGGAAAATTCATATTGGTACTTTGTGTTTAATTTTCCATTTCAAAAATAAGATTTGGGCATATTTGATTTTTCATGATACAAATTGTTTCTTTAAATCCATGAGTGTGATGTAGAATGACAAGCTGCAGAATTTTGAAAGTTTGTGTCTCATGTACAGATAATTATGTGAATCTTTTCATTCTCAGAAAGTGATTGTGGTTGCTATAGAGCTTTTTTGCTAAAACGTTTCCTTTTTCTCCAGCAAAGATTTAAGAGAACCAGAAAATAATTACTATATATGAAGAATATCTGTGAAGGGAATTCTTAGCCAATTAAAGATTATTGTTTTGTGATGATTACTTGTAGCATGTCTCATGATGAGTATGAATCTCCCAGTCCTTTTTTAAAGCTCCACACTTTGTAGATAACTGGTTTATAGCACATGGCAAATAATTCAATTTTTATGTGCTTGACAAAAATCAAGACCAGCTGGGTCGAATAATAAGGGGAAAACAAGACTCTTATTTTTCTGTGCATGAGCACAGATGTTTGCTATTGCTTTAGGATATTGGCCTTGGGCTTGCTAATGCAGTAAGAATCAAATCATCAATGTTCCAGTGGACGTTCTTCAGCAGATACAGAGCATAAGAGGCAGGAGCCATGCACCAGTTGTAATCTCATAGGTCATGCTTCCTTCCCACATGAATCCACATCCAGACATGTTTTTCCTACAACCTAGATGTTATCAGACTGACAAAATGTGACAGTAGAATTCTAAGCATCAAAGGTGTCAAGTTGATTACTTTACTTGGGAAAGATTAGAAAGCCACAGTAGATTAACTTTTACCCCTTGAGAAGGAAAGGTATATTATGGAAAATTTACTATGCTGAGTCCTTGCCTCCTCACTGGGAAGGGGTTGAAGGTGGGACTGCATGCAGCTTTCATTCTGCCCCCCTGCTAGGATTAGTTTTCATGAATCTGGATTCCCTTGTGATAAAGTATAAAGTCAGGTGATATTGTTGGATATTATCACAGTCATAGAAAGTGCCAGAGACATGGGACTATGCTAAATTAAATGAGAATTTAAATACGAGTTCTGAAAGAGATAAACTGTATCCTCCACAATGAGCTTCACTGTCATGATGGTGCCTTCCAAAATTGACAAACACAGGCTCCCAATTCTAAAGCCATTTTAGGTTGTTTAAAAATGTCATAACGCTGTTTATAAA